GGGCCAGCGGGCCTTGGGAAGGAGCCACGGTCGCTCGGGCCTGGCCAGCTGAGGGAACAAAGCGGCATTTGTTGCTTAGGGGTCCTGGGCCTGGGGTAGGGGGGCTGGTTGGCAGTGGTGAGCAGTGGACTTGAGCTGGGTCTTCAGGGGATACCAGCCAGCTGGGAAGGGCCAACGCACTGAGCCCCCTACTCTCCCCCACACTCGCAGTGAGAATTGCCTCCCTTGGGCAGGCTGGACCGCAGTGAAGCGGGGTGAACTCCTCACAGAGGCCCGGAGTCACTGGAGGCCTGAGACAGGACTCCTAGAGCTCCAGGCAGGAGGCCCTGCATCCAGCACCTTCCTTCCTGTCCCCCCGGGGGGTGCAGTTCTGCAGAGCTGCAGAGGGCCCCACTCCCACCACGGTGCATGAATCTGCAGTCTGCTGCGTGTGCTGGGCAGTCTGTCTGATAGGCTCCTGCTGCGTGCCTTGTTTACAGGCGCTGGGCAGGAGGGTGCCTGCTGGCTGGTGAGCAGCTCATCCTGTCTCAGCTCAAGTCCTACCCTTCTCAGAGAACACGGGAGGCCAGAAAGGCAGGTCAACCGATCCCCGCATCCTGCTCTCCAGACCGTGGGTGCTGGTCCTGCCCCAGCGCCCCAGGCCACGGCATCACCAGCCACCGAGCAGCCAGGAGGACCAGCCTAGCCCTGGACCACCTTGCCTCTCCTGAGGGGCTGGTCAGCACGTGTGCACGTTCAGTTGTGTCCAACTCTGCACCTGTTTGGACTGCAGCCGCCAGGCTCCTCTGTCGGTGGAATTTTCCAGGCAAGAATACTGGAGCGGGTGGCCATTTCCTCCTCCAGGGGATCTTCCCGACCCAAGGATCGCACCTAGTCTCCTGCATTGCAGGCGGATTCACCACTGAGCTACCTGGGAAGGCACCCCAAAGTCATCTGGCTCCATTGGCCAAATTCTATCAAACCTCGCAACAGCGGGGAGCCCCTCTCCAGCCAGGCCACTCCTCCCTGCCGTCATGATGACCGGAAGGAGCCTCCAGGAGAAAGCCCTGAGGACAAACGACCTCAGAGCCACCAACGCAGGCCCTCCTCCCAGGACCCTGGAAGCTGCTTTCTCCCAGCAGAGGCTGGATGAAGCCTGCGTGTAGGGCCGTCCCATTTCTGGGAGGAGGGGAGCCCTGTGGGGCGGGGCTTACGGTAAAACTGGGTCAAGATGGCCCCGGATTTGGGAAGGATTTTCGAGAAGCGGGATGCAAGGCTCTGAGCTGCTTTGGAGGCCGGGGGTGGGGTGGGGGGGCGGGTCTTGGTGGAAGGAGGGAGGGCGCGGCCTCTCCTAGGAAACCAGCAGCCCCCACACCAGCGGCTGAGCGGGTCGGCTGCCTGCTCCGCACGCCGGCCACTGCCCACCCCGGGGCCGTCTCCTGGCTCCGCCCGCTCCAGGCGGAGCCCTGGACGCACTGCGCGCGGCATCCCTCGCGGTGGCGCGGCCGGACAGGTGGTGACACCGGCGCCCTCGGGCCGCTGGCAGCTCAGAGCGGGGGACCAGAGGAGGCGGCGGCAAGCAGGAGCCAGGCCGCACGCGGGGGCCGCTCTGTAAAGAGCCATTGTATGCCCGGGCCAGCGTGTGCCTCCCGCTGGCTGGGTGCGCCCGGGTGGAGGGCTGGAGTCCGGAGCCTACCGGGCCACCGAGGGCCAAGAACTCACACCATGCAACCCCCCAACACAAAATTGTCGTTTATTCTTGTTAGGAGGCAAAAAAATGTACAGTTACAAGAATCATCTTCCAAACAGAGGTTAAATATGAGCAGAAAAGTGTAAAAAAGGAAGAGGGACATCACTTTACAAATCATTAAATTAAATAAACCAACAGAAAACAAAAATCCAAAGAACCAACCCCCCATGCTGAGTTCTCTCCTGTGCAACTCTGCAAAGCGAGAACAGAAAGTGAGGTGGCCCATGGAGGTGGGGGCCTGGGGAGGGGCAGGAGCTGGAAGCCCGCCAGGCCGGCGGGGGCACCTCGGAGGCGGCCCCTGCCCTCCGCCCGGCTGGGGCCAAGAGGGGAGTCCCTGAAGGCTCGCTCCCATCCGCCTGACATCCAAACACTGCGGGGACAGACGGGGCTCGGGACGGCCGCTCCTGCCAGGCTGGTGCCTTTCCGGGCAGACCGGCCCCAGCCGACCCGCGCGGCTCCTTCCTGCTCTCCCCACCGCCCCCTCCCAGATCCTGGCTGGGCCCTGCAGCATCAAATGGTTGATTTTAGTCTTTGCTTAAATTAAAAAATTAAAATATATATACATATATATACTGTACACACAGGACAATAACAGAGTGGGAAAGGGGAGCGGGAGGGGGCGGGGACGGGAAACGGAGCCGGGAGGGGGAGGTTAGGGGCGGGCGGGAGCCATTTATTTTACAGTCAAATCAGGAGTTCAGCAGAACGGGACTCTGGGGCCCCCCGGAGGACCCTCCCCGCGCGGAGTACGGAGGGTGGGCTTGNGGCTGCAGCTGGGGTCACCCCACGGGCGTCAAAGCCCAGTTCCAACGTCAGACCTGCTCCGACAGAGACGGAGCCCCAGGGGGTTCGCCCAAGACCGCACACCAGTGGACGCAGGGCAGGGACTTTCTGCCGCCCGTCCCACCAGGGGAGCCCGAAGCCTTCCCTCCCGCCCCACACCCGCCCCACACCCACCGATGTTGTCCTTCTCTTTGCAGGAGATGGAGTAGCAGCAGATCTCTCGGTCCTGGATGGCAGACAGGTTCCTGCGGGGACCACCCAGTATCCTGAAGCTGCAGCCCTGGGGACTGGGGACTTGGGGCTGGGAGCGGGGGCCGCGGGTGTCGGGGAGGCCGGGAGGAGCGCGAAGGGCGGGCCCGCGGGCGCCACCGCGCGGCCGGCGTCGGGAGCGCGCGAGCCCGCCACTCCGCGCCGGGGGTGAGCCCACTCACATTTTCTCGATCAGCTCCTTCTCATCCAGCGCTCCCGGAAGGTCTCGCTTGTTCCCCAGGACGAGAACCTGCCGCGAAGAGAGGACAGGGCTCGGACCAGGGCTGCCGCGGCCCGGCCGCCCTGGAGGGGGTGGGCCCGGGCGCCCCCACACCGCCTCACCCGCGCAGAGCTGGGCCTGCCCGCCATCCCCACGTCCCGGGCCTTGCCCTCCCACTCCACGCGGGGCTGACCGGGATGCCCTGCAGCTGGGGCTTGTCCAGTAGGTTGTGGAGCTCATTCTTGGAGGCCTCAATTTTCTCTTGGTCAGCGGCATCCACCATGTACCTGGGGGACGGCAGGTGGGGACACAGTTGGCCCCACAGGCTGGGGTGGGGGTGGGAGCCGCCACCTGGGCGGGCTCAGCCGGGGGCTCCGGTGGGACAGCCTGCGGGGCCGCGGGGACCTGCCCGTGTCCTGCCTCCACAGACCCGGAGAGGCTGCTGCTCGCAGGGCAGCACGGGGTCCTGTGAGATCAGACCCCCGTCCTTCCAGGAGGGACCCTCTTCTGTTCTCACGG